CAAATTAAAAAAATAACCGTCAAGCTTATTGTTAAACAAAATTTAAATTTTAAAATGCACTTTAGCGCCAACTTGCGTTAAAAACATTATTGTATAAAAGAATGTAAAATTAATTATTAATATTTTCTTTTTTTAGCTAATAGCTAAATGATGTTAATTAAATTTATACAAATGGTATTAAAATAAAGATGATATAAATTCCTATTAAATATTATTTATTTTTTAATTTAATTTTAAAATGATAATTTAAGAATCATTTTTTTTAATAAATTTTTTTTTATAATGATACTATTTAATTATATCAATGGTTGGATTTCTTTAGAGGGTGGAATGTTATATATTCACTTAATTTATATTTGTTTTGTTAAAAAAAAACAAATTAATTTTTCTTTCTTATACAATTTAGATTAACAAATTATTATTAACTTTCATATTATTAATTTATTATTTTGCAAATAAAAGTAATGAAAGAAAGAAATATAATGTGATTTCAGTTAAAAATTTAGTTACTTTATCAGCCAATCCACATTTTTTGTATTATGGCAGTGGAGTGGAGGGATTAATTATTTTGTTAATGTGTATAAATAAATAGAGAAAACTAGAATACATATTGTGATCAGGGTTTTGCAAAATGCTAAAACATTTTTGATCTTAGTTAAAAAATATGATAATATTTTTGAGAATGTACAAACAGGATATTTGATTAAATATTTTTTAAAGATATATCTTTTTGTGTGCATAAAAAATCTTCAATTTTACAATCTTCAACTTTTAATTTTCAACTCTGATTATAATTATCAGTACTATAAATATATATTTATATCGCTCTTGAAAGGAGAGATAGAAGTCTGTAAAATGATTTTTTTGGGGCCCAAGCACATATTTAAAAATATTTTTGCCCGAGCCAGGTCCGACCTGAGAAATTTGTATATAATTTGAGGATAAATATAATATCTAAGAAACAATTAAAAATTATGTGTATTCAATCTCATTTTGCTACCTCAAATAAAAGTATTTTTAACCCCCTTAATCTAATCAATATTCATGTAAATAAAGTTGCATTTCATTTAATTTGTATACATATAAATTTTATTTTGTTTAAATATAAAAAATAAAGTTAAAATACAATAAAAATTATTGTGAATATATAAAAATAACTTGCATGATTGATGTTGAAAAATAGTTGATATAATTATTTATAAAGAGAAAAAATTTCTAAAAAATATAATAATAAACATATTAATATGACATCAATATCAGTTATTCTGATTGACATTTTTGTGAGACAAAAGATATTTGTATTTTTAATATTTATTTATCAGGTCGAACACATCTTACAGTCTGACTCAAGCCCGACAAAAAATATTTTCCAATGTCCAACTATCCAAGGCTCAGGTCGGTCTTTGGACAGTCCATGCAGACCTCTAAGGAGAAATATAAAGAAAATTTTTAGGTTTTGAATGAAAACAACACAAGTGTAATTATTCTTTATAAATAAATTATTATCCGAAAAAATGTCTGTCTAAACTGGCTCAATTTTTTAAATTTATTTTTAAGCTTGAGTCCAGCTCAAATTGATATTTTTTTATTTTAGATCCCATCCAGGCCCTAAATTTTTATTTATTTATTAGTATAGCTTGAAACCTAATTTATAAAATATCACCTTTTTTAAAATAGCTTTGCCCTTAATACAGACTAATCCTAATTATCAATTTATTTGCCAGCCCAATTTTTTTAAATTTGGCCTGAGATGGCTTGCTTGCATGCAAAAATTATTTTTTGTTTTAACTGTTTATATTTCATAAAAAAAATCTACAAAAATATGAATAAGCAAAGAATGTAAATAAAATATAATATTATAGTGCTCAGGTCAGTGCCTAGATCAATGCTTATAAGTAGGGGTGGGACCAATACCAATATAATATTGGTTTACAATACCAATACCAATATAAACCAATATATATTTAAATATTGGTATTGCTTTTACAACCAATACCAATACCAATTACCTAAATATATTGGTTTTGATATATTGTTTAAATACAATTTTATATAAGACCAATACCAATATTAAAAATAACATAATTATTTGGGTTTATCGTGGATAATTATATCGTGTTATTTTTTTACTTTCATTTCAAAAACTGATTACATCTGTTATTTCTTCCAAATAATATTGTGATATCAATATTTCTGTTATTTATAATTATAGTTTATTTTTATTATGGAAGTAAATTTTTTACATGATATCTATCAATTTTATCTATTTATTTAGGATATTATAATCAATGAAGACCAAATAGAGTTAATAAATATAGATGCTGTTGGTACTTATAATAATAGAGATAATGAACAAGAAGAATTATCAATATCTAATAAAAGACGAAATTCAGCAAAAATCTGGGAATTTTATACTACTTGTGATAATAAAAAAAGGCAATTTGTAATAAATGTAAAAAAAAATATCACTCCCAATTTTGGAACCTCAGGATTATGGACACATCTTAAAAATATCCACCCAACATTATATAAGAAATGTGAGCAAATAAATATTGGCAATAAAAAAATTAAGACAATAAAATCATTTTTACTTAATAATATAAATAATAAAGCTAATTAAATAATTAATTATAAACTTTTTCATTCAAAATAATTTAGCCTTTTCAATAGGGATATCACTTTTAAAAATTTAATAGCATATTGTAACCCTTCACTAACATTAGTTTCTAGAAAAACACTAAAAATATAAATTATGAAACATCATCATAGTCTTTTATCAATTTAAAATCTGTACTTTCTAACATTACATCTAAATTTTCCTTAACAATGGACATTTGGTCCTCTCCAAATAAAATACCCTTTATGGGCATAACAATTCATTATATTGATAATGATTTTAAATTAAATAATCATTTGTTAGATTTTTTTACTTTTAAATCAGCACATAATTCTATTAATATTTTTAATTCTGTATTAAAAGTAAAATTTGAAATTGATTTTTTTTTGCATTACATTAGACAATGCAAGTAATAATTTAGCATTTCTAAAAATTTTAAAACAAAAAGATAATTTTGATAATTTGTGCAAATGCTTTTGCCATATTATACATTTGGCTATGGCTGCATTGGAACCCTTAAATACAACTTTAAAAAAAATAAGAAATTTTTAAAAAATTTTTAAACTTTCTATATCTAAAGATAATAAAATCTACAAAACATCTCTTTACAAAACTCAACATTTAAAATTTCCTCACCCACACGTTAAAATTCAACATACCAAATGCTTGAAAGAACAATATTGCTCAAACTCTATTTGACAACATATACCAATCATTTACAAAATACCAATCAAGAAAATTATATTAGTGACTTAGCATGGAATAATATAGAAATATACCGAGAATTTCTGGAACCATTTAATTTTGCTACAGAAATGGCCTCATGTGCTAATACTCCATCAATTTCAACAATTATTCCTTTATATTCCAGTATTTTTGAGCATGTGGAGAGTTATAATAATAATCCTAATGCTATTTTAAAGACAGCTTCTTTAGCTGCCTTAACAAAACTTAATAAATACTATAATTTTAATAGCATAATAATATGGAAACTCTTATTGGATATCTTAATGAATACAATATTTATAAAATAAATAATAACAATTCAGCGGAACTTACAAATGAAGCACAAAATAACAAAAAATTGTCCTTTTATGACAAAATTTATAAGGTGAAACCTCATAATAATAACAACTTAGAAATAAGTAAATACGTAGATGAAGCCACAATTTCCAATGATACAAATCCATTAGATTGGTGGAAATTAAATAAAAATAGATATCCAGTATTATCAAAAATTGCCAGAGATTATCTAGCAATTCCGGCCACCTCATCTAGCTCTGAAAGGGCTTTTTTAGAAGGACTGTATGTTATAACAGACCAACGTTGTTCACTAGATGAGCATTCTATACAAGCTTGCCTGTGCCTAAAATGTTGAATGCGCATGCAAGATTCTTCTTAAATACATAAAATTATTTCCTCTTATATTAAAATTATATCATTTTTTTGCATTATATTTTGTATAAATAGACAGTTATGTTATATTTTTAGTTTACTTATTTTGCTATGTTCTTTGTGATAAATAAAATGGTTCAAAATCAATACGTTTATTATTGTTGATACAAAAAATACATGATTAAATCAAAATTTTTTATATTCACATCACCTAATAAATTCCTAGTTTAAAAAAGAATTTGAATTCAGTAAAATTTTGAGAGTTGGTTCTTAGCCATAATTTTATGGTATCATTATTTTTTTCCCCATGTTTATTTAAAATTAGGAATTAAGGATTTTATAATCACTATTTCTATTTTTTTAATTAGTAATTTGAATTTAAACCAATACCAATATAAACCAATAGTTACCAATATAAACCAATACCAATAGCAATACCAATACAAGAAATAGAAAATATTGTTTAAACCAATACCAATATTTTACACCCAATACCAATACAATATTTTGTTAATATTGGGTTTTTACTATTGGTTCCCAGCCCTACTTATAAGTGGTTGGGTTTTCATTCCTTTGATGTTTAGGTTAGAGCTCAGATTGGTGAGTGCATCAAAAAATTTGATAAATCATATTGACTTTGGTTGGGTTTAATCTAGTATATTTTTTCAACCATAAACCATGGTCAAGGTCATATATAACTCCCCATTAAACAACACTAGCTTTACAAATAAGTGAAGGGTAAATTGATAAATCACATAACTATTACCAAAGACAACCTAAACAAGCAGCCTAACATATTTACTTAAACTAAGCTTTAACTTAAATATTGTGACAAATTTTTATAAAAAGCTTGGTTAACCTATTCTAAATTTAACCAAAGCGATTTAACAAGAGTATATCAAATACAATAAAAAGTTTAATATAATTTTATCATTATAAATTCAATAATTATGTGTTATAATACATAATTTATTTTATATTGTATAACCTGCTTGCTGATCTATATTGCCTCTTAACAATCTTATTGTTTCATTTGCTTTTCGAAGTTCAAATTCTAATACTATATAAACTTTAAGTATTATATGAATTATTTTAATACCAGCAATTCTTTCATCGACAAAATTGGAACTATCATCTGAATATCTAGTGATATCAATTGACTCCAAAGTTTGTACACTAGATGCTCTGCCTTTATATAGGATATCAATTTTTTTTCATATATTATAAGATTTACGCAAGGAAGTTGTAGTTTTCCATTTGTCAGAATAATCTTGATTTGATAGATAATCATTTAATCTTGGCAAATATTTTCCCCTCTCATATAATTCATTTTGAAATTCTAATGCCGTATTATAAAATTTAGCTTGTAAAAGTTTTTGAGCTATTGTATCATATAACAACTCTTCGGAAGACATTTATATTACAAAGTGTCTCCAATTCATTTTTTTTAAAAGTTTTAAAACATATGTTTATGGATACATGTCATAAACAATTCAATATATAAATTTGATTAGGGAAGCGAGTAATTTTTACAGCAGCCCTTAGCTAAGAGGGCGAAGAAATGGGCGATCAAAAATGTACAATTAATGTTTATTAAAATGCAATATTTATTATACTATAGTTATGGGAATTTATTTTATGTAAAACACAATTATATAGGGTTTAATTCAACAGTCATTTAATAACCAAACTCGGTTTAGATTTATTTTTATAACCTATATACAAAACGATGCTAAATCTAAATAAAATGTATTATTAAAACAAAAATTTTAGTTTTTTAAAATTTGCTTATCCTGTGTGTAATGAGTAGGTAGCGGCATTAGGGGCGGGGATAGGGGATCTAGCCCACTAAATGATTTAAATAGCCCCTTGAAGCAAATTTTTTTAAATGGCTACCTGAATCCCTCTGAACTAAAAATAAATTTTTTTGATAGCCCCATAGCCCCATTAACGATTTCTTTTATAATTCTATTAAATATTATATATAGATTTGATTTTATTATTTAATTGAAAAAGGACAACTATAATTATCACTACTCTACTACCAATACCAAAGAGTTATTATTTAGAACATGAATATTTAAAAAATATCCCGTATTGAACGAGTGCCTTGTTATAATATATTGGTTGTGATGAATATGAGTTTGCTGATAGAAAGTCTAACCCTTTTACTTAAAAAATAAGATGGCTGAAAATTGTCCGGAAATATGTTTAATTTGAAGAATACTGACTAATACTGACTATGATTGTAAGCAATATATGAATTAGTCGATTTTAGGCAATATATTTTTATTATAATAGGTCTTAAAACAAACCATATTTCATAACAAGACGACCCAAATTTATTCATTAAATAAAACAACAATCTAGAAAAATATAGTATAATAAATCATAATTATCCAATTCTTCATCTCCCAAAGTCCACAGCTGACATCTTATACCATTAATCCAATATCTCCAACTAGGGGTTTTTCCTAATAATGAAACACCCCGTGATCATCATCCACTCTTCTTCCCCCAAGGAAAATTTAATTCCTCTGTCAGAAAATAACTGACATTTTATGTATTATATTAAATTTATTTCTTCTTTTTCAACAATTACAACAGGTCTATAATAAAAGAAATCAATAATTTTTTATATCAATATACTTTTCCTTATTTTATTTAAAAATTAATAGATAAACCTCCATAAATTTATTCTATCTATAGCCTATCCCCATATCCTACTTCCCTTAAATGCCCTGCCCACTTAAAAAGTTGGAAGCAAATTGCATTTACCCCCCCCCCCCCTCCATCCGATCATGTAGACGCTCTATCAGGTTGCTAAGAACTAGCCTAACATAAATAAATTTAGATATTTTATTTATTTTTCTTATAGTAACTAGATATCTGTGTATTTGGCACCGTTGGGTTGAAGTTTTTGTCAGCATAGACAGTTGCCCAATTTATTAAGATCATTCACTTTTTAAGAAAAACGTTTTACCAGCTATAATATTCTTAGTTTAGCAAAAATAAGATTATTATCAAACATATTCAAATAATTATGTTATTTAGCTATAATATTCTTAGTTAGTATAGCAAAAATAAGATAATGTTCTAACATATTCAAATAATTATGTTATTTTTAATAAAATAACAAAATGATGAGTAAAATAACATATCTAAACTTAAGCTTTTAGAAAATAAGAATTTATAAAATTATTATAATGGTTGCAAACAAAATAAGAATAAAAATATCAAAATAATTTATATAATAAAATAAGATATTGTGTTTGTTTGTTATTTGGTATATATTTTATTTATATGGCATTTAATACTTTGGATTTATGAATATTGTGAACAGTTATAATTAAAATATTAAATCCATTAATACGTTCTATTTGAGTATGATGATTTATAAATTTATTAACCTAAAATTTTTTAATCAACGATAACTCATTATATTTCTTTTCTTTATCAATTTTATAATTTGACACGAATAACTTTAAAAGGTGATTAAATTTTATAATATGATTGAATAAATGCAATAAAAACAACAAATGCCCCTTATATAAAGTCTTATGCTAATTGATAAAAAAATTAAAAATCTGCCCACTTAAAAAGAAACCACTGCTAAATTTATCAAGACATTTGCAGTTAATAGGAATTTGATCGAAACTCAAATTTTTTTTCAAATTAGGGAGTTGCCCGGATAATATAGAGTTCAAATCCAACAGATTTTACTGTATATTATTTTGTTTAGAAATATAATATATACATAATATATAATATCCTTTTATCCATTTAATTAGCATTAATTTTTAACGATCGTTATTTTTTTATTAAATATATTACGCAAAGAGATTTATATATTCAAAACTAATAAATTGCAAATAAATCGTTAATTATATTTAACGTTTATTTGTTTTTATAGTTCAATGTCGGCTCACTCATGAATGAGATTTTTTGTTCAGGATTTAATAAACAAAGAGTTCTCATCCCTATTATTGGTATCGAATTGGCTATATTTATATACTAGTAAGAGTAATGAAAGTAAGAATTTAGTACCAAGAAAGCAGCTATCTTTTTTAACTTACAATATCATAGAAAATATTAAGATTTAGAAATGAGCAGAATTTGTCTTTGTTTTGTATATAAAACCGTCAAGTACTATATTTTAAGTTATTATTTTGTTATATTTTTTCAATTATTATTTTTTCAATTATTATTTTTTCAAATATAAATTATAGATTATATAATCGGCTATTATTTATCCCGTGTCTACTTCATGCATTGCACTGAGATTGTTGGAGTCAAGATTTGAAAAATTTCTATTTTTTTTCTTTTAAATTTTATATACTTGTATTTTTATATACAAATTTTTTGATCTAAAGTATATTTTAAATGTATTTGTAAAATCATAATTTTTTAATTAAATATTATTTTAAAGAATGAGGGGAGATTTCTTAAATTTAAAATTTTTAATCAAATTTCTTTTATCTATTTTATTTATTAAGAATAAAACATTTTTTTTTTGCTTCTCTAACTCTGACTTTTAAAATAAAATTATGCAAAGAAAATACTCATGGTTCATTTCTATTTTTTAAAAAAAGATCCAATTGCATATTTGGTTACCCAATGTTAATCGTTTTAAGATCATGAAAAATAAAGCAAAATATATATTATGGCATCATTATTTCTTTTATTATTATTATTATATTTTAAAAAGTTCCAATTTTAAGTTTGTTTTCTATCAATGGTATATAGTCAAATAAGTAATATTAAATATATTAATAATGTAAAATAGTAATATTATTATAGTATAAAAATTATATTAATTCTTTAATAAATATAGTGGAACTTCCTTATGGATTATTTATCTCATGTTTGTTAAATTCTTGTTGCGTACTAGTTTAGTTTATAGGGCCTATAAAAGTATATATTAAAATTAGATTTTGATCAAAGTTATTATAAAAAAAATTATAGCCATGACTGGGATGTTTAATTACTATTATAATAAATCTGATCTTTAGCAGTTTCCTTGATAATCGTTGTGATAATCAAATATGTCAAAGAGAATAGTCAGTTGAATCAGTTTTACTTTTGAAAATGAATAACATAAATGGATGAGCACTTATTTATACACTTATAAAAACACAGCAATAAAATTTAAAAAGGGCATGTGTGGCAAAGTCCCGCTTGCATAATTATGAAAGATAATCAAGAGCGCAGAAACTGTATAGGTCTAAAGATGATGATCTAGCAGTATTATTGGTCTATGAGGATCTTATTCATTATTGTGATTTTTCTTTTTCTTTTTCTTTACTTTTAATAAAACCGTATATCTTTAAATATATAATATATCTTTTCTCTGTTCAGAAAAGGCGATTTCTCATAATATTAAATTATAAAACTTTTCTCTGTTTCAGGAGAAATGGCGATCTATCATATATTAAAATATAATATCATTTCATCCTCCAATTTTTATTTAAAAAGCGCAATGAGTTATAAATTGTAATAATTTAATTCATTTTTTAGATAGATTTTAGAATCAATTATAATAAAACTTCAGTTTTTAAACGTTAGGTGGTTAAACAAAAAATAAAATCTTTACTCGTTGTTGTATCTACTCTATTTATAATCTACACTATTTCTGTTTTAAAAAAAATATTAATATTTAAAATTATAGGTTAATTTTATAAAGAGTATTTTAATTTATTATTTTATTGAATAAATCATCATTATATATTTTAAATCTATTTTCCTAATGAACCTTCATCAAGCTTATTTATTTAAAGTTTTATTTTTGTTTATTAACAGCTGATCTATTTTGATTGGCGTATATTTCAAGTTTGTTATCGTTTATTTGTTTCAATAAAAAAAATTCTTTTTGGATGATGATATAAATAGTTATTAAATGGCATTTTTCCATTTTAAATCTAAATTTTTTTTATTGTTTGCAAATCCCTTCTTAAAATTAATAACAAATAATATTAATACCCCTCATTGTTAAACTGGGAAGATTATAACTTGTATAATCAAACGAAAATTTGCTTAACTAAAAATAAAAAACATTAATCAATACTTTAAACTTGCATTGAAGCATCCTCTGTTTTATAAGTTTAGTTGTTAGTAAATGACATCTGTCTTAACCATGTCTTCCCCGAGTGCAGGAAAAAGAAGAATGGATACAGACGTTATTAGACTGTAAGTTATCCTATTTACTCATAAATTTTATACCCTATATTAACATATATTTAGAATTGAAAGCAAACACGATGTCACATTACTAGGTGGAATCAATGAATTTGTTGTGAAATTTTTTGGCCCAATAGATAGTGAGCATTATTATATAAATAATTTAAAATAATTAAATACTTGCAACCACCTGCCTATATGAAGAAAGTAAGAAACTGTCTTACAATAATAGATATACTCTGTTGCTGTTAATTAATTGTTAATTAATCCTCATGGAAAGTTCTAGATAATAACATAAATTAGAATTTGGTTTAGAGAATGAAATTAAACAACCATAATTTTAAGAGACATTATATATCAATAAACCATATTATATGAGATAAAAATGTATAATCAATTTATATCCAAATTTTAAAAGGCGAAAATAAAATAAATAAGGTTGTTCAATAATTTAAATAATTAAAATATATTGGAGCACTAATTTTTTTAATAAAAAGTAGTAACAGAATAATTCGCATAATGTATATTGTAGCTATTAATTTTGTAACAATATTTGTGCTTAAATTAAAAAAAAGATGTTATTAAAACAAATATCATGTCTAAATTTTCATGTCATAATCAAATACTTTGATCAAAAACAAATTTTATGGAAAAATAGACAGAATTATCCTAAACAAAACTACAAAAGGACTATAAAAATACACTGTTTGGGTCCTTTTGCCTGGATCTTTTTGTCCTGGACATTCCTAGACAAAACTACAAAGGCACTACAAAAATACCCCATTTTTTGGGTCCTTTTACCTGGATCTATTTGTCCTGGACATTTTTACCCACAATTACTAAAAATAATAAAATGAAGCCAAAATTTAACCAAATTAAACCATATTTGAATCAAGCAAATAAGTTGCTTTTTTTATTTTTTAAAAATCTAAGCAAATATGAAATATTTTGGTTACCTTAAATAATGTAAAATTATAGTTATAACATAAAATCTATATTGACTCATAATTTTTTAAAAATTTAAAATAATCATTATGAATCACCATTTTGCTTAGTGATAATGGGTAAATATTTTTTTTTACTTAAGTTAAATTTTACCTTTAGGCTTTAATCTATTTATAAATACAAAATATTACTAAGTATTGACAAATATATATTTTTTCCTGATATAAGAAGAAAAAATTTAGGAATGAAAAGTACCTATTTTTATTTTTTTGCTTTAAAGATAATTGTGGTTTTATTATTATTTTTTCAACTAGAATTTTTTTAAAATTAAATAATTTTTCACCTTTTCTTTTAAAGTAACATATTGTTCCTTCAGATATTTTTTTTCTTATTTTCTAACACAATATCCATTACAGGAGAGCTAAAAATTACAAGCATTAGAGTTGGTTATACTGTTTTAAAAAGAATTTACAAAGGTTCATTAGGGTCTTACCAAATTTGAAAAATAAATTAAAAAATTTATAATGATATATGTGACTTTATAAGGGAATAATGCAACCAATACCATTAATTACTCCCTCCCCTAGGAAAAGCAAAGTGTCCTAATTTTCACGATAAATTTTGTCATGTAAATAATGTCGATAATAAATTATGATCTGCTCTCACTTTGAAAATTGAGTGTGAAGGTTTGGTTATAATGGAAATTTTAAAGGTCAGTTCAAAGGTTCGTCCCTGATTTTTGGTTATAATATTCTTAGGGATGATTTTATTAATCTACCACTACCTACGCCTCATTTATAAGCACGATTCTCAATTTATAAGCACGATTCTCAATTTATAAGCACGATTCTCAATAGATGAAAAATTAATCGCTAGTGAAATCACAGTTGATTCGTCATATAATTGCATCGCGACATATCTTTTTCGTCCGATTTCATTATCTCGCTCAGTATTTATAAATTATAGGTATTATTGGCTTAAATTTCGTAGCGAAAAATTTCGCATAGCGAATAGTGTACTCTAAATACAACGTTACCTTTTTATTTAGTTCTTAATTCGATTCCAAATTAAAAATTTCACATAACAAAGAACTTAATTTCTATTAAAAACACTAATGCCGAACGGTCTATAATAACGTTTTGCTGCTTCGTAAAAAAATTAATTAATTTTTTTTTTAAAAAAGAAGTCTCTTCTTATAATTAATATATTTATGTAAATCAGCTTGATTATTTTATTATAATGGATTTATTGATTTCTTTAATTTTAATATAAATTTGAAAGGATTTTTTCTCCCTTTTAATGTAAGTCAGGGCAATTTAAAGTTAAACACGTTATATTCAAGCGGTACGTTAATTACAAAATCAAGTCAATAAATAGGATAATTTATAAATATTGATCCGATGATAGCACTATGATGAAATTTGAAAAAAATATGTTGTGATTATAAAGATATTGCATTATGAGTTTTTATTACCAATTTTTTTTAAATAAGCAGAATATTATATATATTTATATACTAAATATTTGTTATAAAGCAGAAGATATATTTTAATAAATATCATCGCTATGAAGAATCAACATTGGTTTCGATTGCGTTAAATAAACAACGCGTTTACTAAAAATTCAGCGTTAGGGAATTGGGGTCGAAATGTTAGATTAATGAGTTTATAATTCTATAATATTATCGTTTTTCAGTTATATATTTTATTTTGGATTTTTTCCAGAATTAAAATTTCTAAAAATAGCATTCCCCCCCCCTCCCCTTTATTTTTATTATGCAAGAATGCTTTGTTAGTATATAAAATCAATATTTATATTTATATAATCTTTTCATATTTTAAAAATGTTAACTATTTTAAATTCATGACTATCCTATTAGGAATGAACTTTCTTCTGAGAACTGAACAAGTTTATTTCTGTGTTTTTTTAGACTTCCCAAAACTGTTTTTTATTCTTTTACTTTTTATAAAGCGATAATGTATTGAAATACAATTGTCCTATTTCAAAATTAATATCTGCAACTTAGAGCGGCTGCATTAATATATTAAAACTAATTGGGTTAGGCACCGTATCGGATAAAAAATTAAAGGGTCGGGCCTGGCGGGAAAGTAGATTATCATTATTGATTATTTTTACACAGGATATAAAAAAAACCGGACCTGGGCCAGGTATATTTAGTAAAATAATATTGGAATCGGGTCAGGTGCAATTTGGATGGGCCGGGCCTGGCAAAAAGAAAATTTTACAGGTCGGTCCTGAAAATTTTGCTATTTGCAGACCTCTCATCGTTATACAAAAGTTAATAATAAATAATGCTTCACTCAATTTTTGTTAAATGGCTAGAGATTTAGCCAAATTTTTAAATTATGATATAAGCCAAAGTAATAATACGCAAGCCTCGAGATTTTGTTAAAAGATGTCGTAACTTTTCTGCCATCTCTGAGCAAAATCTCCCAGGCTTACGTAATTACAAATATTGGGTTAACCGTTTTTAAAAACCCAACAGTACTAGCCCCATCCCCCAATTCAGAAAACGGTGACGTTTAAGCCACGAACTCACTAATGCACTATATAAAACGTTATTCTAATAATCCAATAAAATGAAATTATAATCCCCTTTTAAAAATATATCGCTGCCTTTATTTTATCTATTCTTTTATCCCCTTTCTTTCTTCCAGTCTTGCCTTTTCATTTTTTAAAGATATTTTATTTAATTATTATCTATTATTTTTGTAATATTTATAAATATTTTTTTTTAAAAAAAGAATCAAATTATTCTTAAATATTTAATAATAAGTTACTTTAAAAAAAATTTAAACAAAATTATGCATCTTTGCCAATTTATCTCAAAAAAAAATACAATAGTTTTTATATTTTTTTTTAAAAAAAAACTCTAATTTGAACCAAACTTTTATTGGTCATAAGCAAGCGACATATTATTAAAGAATATTGATCCTTAAAATAGAATAGGAATTTGGTGTATGGTTTCTAAAATTATACAAGTTTGAAAAATAATGAGGTATTCTTGGATCAATACACTGGAATGCGGAAATTATCGCTGGATTCAGTAGGGTCCAGTTTGGAATATTTTTTAAAAATGGGGTTCGATTCGGAAGTTAGGACATTTTATTTCGCATTTTCATAACTCCAAATCATATTACGATAGCATTTTATATAATAAAATCTACTCTTCAATTACAATTGTATCTTAATCCGGTTGGGAACGCCAATTCGGTTCCATCTGCAGGTGCGTGCAGGAGAAATTTTTTTGACATTAAGGCGTTTTAGATATTAGTACTTCAAATTTGAACTACTTTATTTTTAAGAAAAACGCCCGAGGCCAAAGTGATAACTTTCGAGTAAAAATTAGCATAAATGGCTAAAATTATGGTAATTACCCACATAATATGCATTAAGAGTAAAAACAAGAAATCAAGTTTTTCTATATTTTTTAACCTTTGTCTTGAAGAAATAATTCAATCATGATTTAAAAAAAAAATCGTATTCATAAACCTAAATATTTATCGGTCCATGTTTGGATACGGGTGTATCGAAAAAATATTATCAACAAATTGTCGATCGCCGATCATTTTTAGCACTGTATTTACAGTTAGCGCGAATTCGTGGCGAAGTATACAAAAATTATTTTGTTTATTTTGCCGCGAATTCGCGCTAACAGTGCATGTAGGGTTACTGGATGGAATTCTCTAAAGGTGACCCATCTCCATAATTCTGTAATATTGATTCTATCCACGTTAGCTAAAAATTTATATAACCCTCTACTTATATTCAAACCTTTTTCTAAAAGAAGAATGACTATAACACAGTTAGCGCCAACTTCACTGTGAATGAGGGGTAAGGCTCGGAATCGGACGGAACATATGAAACAAACTTGGGAATGAAGGAGGGTGGGGTATCTAGAAAATTTATATCGGCGCCATGAGACGAAATCTTTACTAACGAGACAAAACTCTCAACATCTTTTTTGATATTATACATTCGATAATACTATACCATAATACTCATAATAATTGAGATTAACTATGATGATGATGATATTTGCAGCTATCAAAAAATGCTTTAAAAATGGTAGTTATTTATATATAAAATCAATATAATTTTTTTTGTATCTAAACTTCTTTTTTTTTCTCCTCCTAATACCAAAATATAGACTACTACTTAATAAAAATATATG